TCCTGAGCTTTTTCTACCATATGTATTGGAGAAGGTGGTTCATGCCAGGGCTTAACCCATACCATTCCACGCACTTCGTATTGATCTCCGTAATGGGTTCCTTTTCCATTGTTTGTGGGGAATTTTAAAGCGTAATGAAATATCGAGACAGCTGCACGAAGTTTGTATAGAGCTGTTCTCCCCACAATGGCATTATGTTCGGTTTTTAGATCCATCGCCTTGAACGTCTCCATGATAACTTTGGAGGCCTGCCCAGGAATCCCAAACCGAATTGGCATGGTTATTTCTCCAAGAGTTGGCGTAATTGCTCCGTTAAAACCTTGTACTTGATCTTTGCAGGGTTTCAACTCGGCTGGATCAATTCCCATTTGTTCAAACGTGCGGAGCATTAAAATACTCGAATATGCTCTTGTATCAACCATTATCCGATGTGCTGGTATCCCGCAAATTGGTGCCGTGATCACGAGAGGATCAGAGTGTGGGTGAGCGAAATAACTAGCATCATCCACATTGAAAGTAATCGGACAATTATTCCGAGCATTGATTCTATCTTGGAGGTCGGTTGCTATGACAGTTTTGCCCGAGTTATAAGCTTGTCGAGCATAAGCTTTCATTTGTCGACGTGATTCAAAGGATTTGCCGCTGCTGTTATTAACTCGGGGAATAGTATGAAAACCGGGAGGATTAGAATATCCACTTCGTTGAGTAATTGCAATTTTAGTCAAAGATGAAAAATTGTTCTCCTCCGGGTTCAACACGTATACTTCTTTTTCACCTTGTCTAATGCGCTTTGGATTGAGAGGACGATCGTCATCTTCGTCATCATCTGGGGTTTCTGGCAATCTGCCTTTCCGTTTATAATCAACATTCTTGGAGAATCTTTGGACTTGTGAGTGTCCAATAAGCCGCAGTAAGGCAGAGAGTAAGCCCAAGCATTCATCAGTATCATGCCCCGCCGACTTGTGATATGAGCTGTACCTCGTTTTATCAAGTTTTTCTTCCGGAGTCCTCACAGGTCGGGGGTCGGGAAGAATTCCCTTTCCTTTCAACTCTTCAAATATGGTAGCCGCTCCAGCTGAAAAGACCGTCTGATAGCTGGATTTGACCTCATTAAGATATTTAGCTCTGGCTTCTTGCACCTCAGGATCTTTGGAATTTCCGAACCGAGATTGGTTTGGTTTGAAGAACTTGTTCTTCTTCTTCTTTTTCGATTCTTGTTCTGCTCCCAACTTATTAGAAGAAAAGTCGAAAGTAGGAACCGACATTGATTCTTCAGCTATAATGTGCTGCTGAGATCGAGCTAGAAAATCTTGAAATGAAGTCGGTTTATTCTGATAAATACTCAAGCGGAACAAGGTATTTGGCTTTAATCCGCCTATGGCCGTGACCAGCAACATTTCAGGATGACATTGCTACATATTTTGTACTCGTTCATTAAACCGAGTAATATAGTCTTTAACGCTCTCGTTATCCTTTTGTACGATATTGGCAATAGACTCTTTCGGGATTAAAGATACCCGAGCCCCGATGAAATGAGATCGGAAAGCCGTTCTCAATTGTTGCCACTTTGATATTGAACATCGGGGTAAAGAGTGGTACCATTTTTTAGCACGAGGTCCCAAAGTGAAAGAACACATCCGACATCTGAGTGCGTCGGTTGCCCCATGAAGATCCATCCACGAGGTGTACTGACCGAGATGTGCGTCTGGATCCGAGGTACCATCATAAGGCCAATTTGAGGGACTTTGACTTTGGAGGGGAGTGGTTCCATTGTCAAATGAGGAGCCAAGGGAGTTTCGGCTTCTGGATAGACATTCTCTGAGATAGGAATCTTTTGTAGGGATTCCTCAAGAATATGTTGCCGAGTTTCTAACTCAGCAATCCTCTTCCTTAACATTTCCAACTCTTCTGACTCACGCCTTAAATGGTTCCTTTCGATTATATGGCGTAATTCATTGTTCTCACGTCGGAACTGATTTCGTTCAATTGTGTGAAGTAAGTCAGATTGTCGATCATGTTGTGAAGTTTCCAGTGATGGAGACACCGGTTGCTGTTGACGACGCCCAGAATGACTTTCAGCAGTAGTTTCTGGTCGAACTCCTTCCAGGGGACGACCGTCGACAGGAATTACACCACGATTGTGAATGGAAATATTTGGTTGCGACTCAGGTGTTCGTGGTTGAGAAGTTGCATGAGACGCAGTAGGAATATTATGTTGTTGAACAGGCGACGTCTGTTGCCTAGTTGGAGGATTTGAAGCATGAGCTTGACTAGGAACCGTCATAGTTTGTCTTGTTCTTGTTTGTGCCATGAAATTAGATAGATTTCTGAGAAACTCTGGATCTTGGAAGAGAACAGAGTAGTCTATCGTCATAGATAGCATAATTGTATTGTCAGTTGTATGAGCAGGATGACGATTGGTTCCAGCATCTGGATTTCGTTCTTGTCGCCCAGAACTTGACATAGTGATAATACGTGTATGAAAGTATTATTTACACACGTATATAATAGATCAAAAAAGTTGGCGGAGGTTCAGGCCGCCCTTCCTCTAGCGCCAAATTGTTGTTGTATGAAATTAACAACTAAAAATCACAAACAGCAAGGTGTGTTTAAACAAAGATAAATGTAGAATTGGATTTTATTGATATGTTCACAAGAGTACAGGAAGTCGGTTTTTTATTCTTGACCGAGATCATTTCAAGTCTGTGTACAATGTGTGTTCAAAGATTCAGAAAAAGATCCTCGTACAACCATAAATTCTGCTATTTATAGTTCGGTTGCTTTTGTCTTTTTGTCCGAGGTAGATAAGATTACATTTAATGTTGAGCAGCTTCAATTAAACGGTGTGTAGTGGAATGAGGAAACATCAATGATTGCTTTTTGTTTTGATGGTCCAATAGAACGTGTACAGCACCTCTCGCTTGGAAATTCGATCTTCCCGGATTGTCGGATGAACGGGTAATCTTTTGTAGACATAATCACATTGGTGAAGTCGGTTGTCGGCTTCTGATAGATAGTCGGTTTTACTTTGTCGATTATCTAGACGTCGGTTTGACCATCTAGAAGTCGGTGATCAACATATTTAACTGGTACCAACTTGAGTTAAGTTTAGCTATTTCTGAGGGACAATTAATCGAACGAAACAATTAACCTTCGGCTCTAACCTCATGAAACCAAGTCGGTTATCAACAGACCAAAGAACAAGGCTAGAATGAGCTAATTCAAAATTTCGCAATTCCAATCTCTAATCGATTCCTTTCAGACAGACTCAATGCAAGTTCTAATGAATCAAGAATATGACCAATATCTCACATTAAAAAGAGTAAGGATCAAAACTTCCCAAGGTAAATAAAAGTCACTCAAGGCAATCAAGCAATTATCAAGGCAATGACCACACGACCATCATCATAACTTCCCAATTTCATCAAACAATCTTCAACAAGTCGAATGATTCATCAATATCCCATGCTCCACAACACAAAAACCTAAAACCAGACCGGTCCACCACGTAAGCATCAAAATCCTAGTAAACTTCCCCCACACTTAAAATGAGGCAATGCCCCCATTGCCTCAATACATAACCAGGAAGTAAATAAAAGAACATTGCAAATTCATATTATGAACAAGTACTAGCAGCTAACCCAAAAATACAAAACTCTAAAGAAAAGACACGAGGAAGAAACAAACTCAAAAAAATAAATAAATAAAAAGAAAAGAAGCATGTAAGCCGAAGAAGCGGCGCCGAGAATAAGCATTCAAGTGCAAGCCGCTCGCCAATGCTCAACCCAAAACTTTGATATGTCTTGTTAAACTCAATCCCCATGCTCGAGCTCGCGAACCCGTGTCTGCCAAGAAAACCACAGAAAATTCTAGAACTCAATTTATTCAAAGAAAATTCTAAACAGCATAAAAGAAAATAACTAGGAAAGTAATAAATAGAACTTGGATTGCCTCCTAAGAAGAGCTTGTTTAACGTCATTAGCTTGACGATCCAAAAAAAATGACGATCGTGTCACGCCTTCGTATTCTCTAGGAGTTGCAACATGGGTAGTGTAGAAAGAAGGCGAGCACGGTAGATCCGGGTAGCTATGTTCTTGTGGAATAAAGCACCGACACAGACAATGGCCAATAAGTGGTCGAAAGCCTTTCGCATCACAACTCCATGGTCGACCTCCGAAAATATGTGAACGTTTGTAGAGCATGTCGAGCCATATCCGAATCTATCAGTAGCACAGGGTGGTGGCTTGGAATGTGAACTCTCCAACTCGATGGTGGAATCTACAACGAACATCCTTAGTAGGAACAACTGAATATTGTGCCTATAAACATTAAAATCGTGTCTATTAATACATTGCAATGAAATGTCGTTGCAAGAATGTCGTGCTAATAGACGTGTGTCTATAGATCTATTGGCACACTTAAGTCGTTGCTATAAATGTAAAAGTAATAGACACGACTTTTGTTGTGCCTATCTCTTGTCCAATGGTTCCATGATTTGTACTACTAAACCACAATCCATGTTGTGCCAATATTGTTGTGCCTATTGATCATTTGTTGTGCCTATTTCTTGTCCAATGGTTCCATGATTTGTACTACTAAACCACAATCCATGTTGTGCCAATATTGTTATGCCTATTGATCATTAATTGAAACGTAAAATTGTTGCAATTCTTGGGTTGCTATAGACATTTGGAGTCATATATTTGTTCCAAAAGTGATTAAAGCAATAAAATTATTGCAATAATTTTCTGATCCAACTCAAATGAAAGCCACGTAATAAAATGATGCTGAAATATTTAACTTATTAATCTAATTGATTCAACAAACTATTACATNCAAACTATTACATCTACAACATGAACAAATAAATATTGGTTCAATTTGTTTCTATAAACTTAAGAACTTACAAAAGAGAAAAATACATACCAAGTAGCCAAAATGAAGTACAATACAACTATACATTTAAATTTTCATACTTGAATAATCAAGCATGTTCATCTCTATTGCTCCAAATCGGCATCTTTACCCTTCTGCCTATTCTTCTTCCACATTATCCCAAGTCCCAACTTTTGCTTAAAGTTGATCAATTGTCTTGACACCTTCAAAACTAGGATACATATAACATTGAAGATGACATTACAAGTGTATAAAAACTATAGCTTTAGCAAGAACAAAAAATATAACACTAAAGTATAAAAATAAAAGGTTAATATAACACTAAAGTATAAAAATATAACACTCAAGTATAAAAATAAAAGGTTAATGGTATGATCATGCCTTGTAACAGACTATTGCACAAAATCAGAAACCAGAATATTACACATTATTTAACATTAAAAACAAAAAGTAATGTCTGCTTCCCGCACCCTAACCTAAAAGAGAAGAAAATAAATGATATAACACATGCGTTCTTTAAGAAAAAATAACATTACCTATTATTTAACAGAAGTAAAATTTCATTGTATTTAGTACCTGCAGATCAGTGAGTCGTCGAGCACCATTACTTTTAGGGCTTAGAACTGAAGCGAAATATTAGCATAACTTTCCCATAAGTGTCTTATCCATAATCTATAAGATAAATGAACAAAAAGAAAAACAAACAATCAAGAAACCTGAGGGAAATGGTTCAGTTGATTCGCATTAGCAGCTTCCCAGTTGGTGGAGGTTTGGTTGATTCAGAGTTAAGATCAAATATGCCATCTTCTAGTACTAAGATATAGTAAAATTCAGAAAATGTGCCCCATAAGAAAGTAGTTTCAACAGAAGATAATATGTGAAACCATGCAAAATTTATTATACTATTAACAAATATTCATCATTGAAAAAAGTATACAGGACAACTTCTAAACATCTAGCTAATACTACCAGGCAATGAAACTCTTAATGAGAGGATGCACAAATATATCTCCAAACTAGATAAGATGCAGCTTGACCATAAACTCCTGCCCTGCAACCAGAAACATCCCAACTAGTACTCAAGATTTGAACCAAAGCTATAATCTCATAATTAACTCGCACTTATTATTTTTGTAACCAGAAATACATCACGACAATCAAATAGCTAACAAAAATCTGTACCTTTACAACAGGGCCATTTGATTTTGTTTACCCTTCACCTATGCATCCTTATACAACAGAGATTAACAATCTTAAAGAAATTCTCTTAATTAGTATTAATCTTATAATAGCAGATAAAACAAGTACAAGATCTCACCAGAAACATTGAAATGTAACTGGAACAAGATTAAACAGTGAGCTCAAAAATGAAAAATTAACATAAGACCATAAATAACTCCTCCAAATTTTGTTCAACACAATCGCTAAATCTTGCAAGTTAAACAGTAGACAAATGATTGTATTTTTACCTCATTTTCCTTCTTCAGCACATCCACATAACATACATAACACGGAACAAAGAGGACTGAGCAAAATGCAGTCGAAATAATAGATTCGCTGGAACCATAGATGTAGTCATGCTGAAAATTGGAAAGTGAAAAACAAAAATTGAATCGTCAAAATTTTCAAGCAAGTTTAGACAACTAATTACATGAACAACATATATAATAAATAAAAAAAGGAACAAAAAGAAAATAAATTCGGATTCAGAATCACGATTGAAAGAAACCCTAACAAAGAAAATTAAGACTAGAACTTGTAGATAACCAAATCTGTAAATTCAATCAGCTTAGAAGGACAAGAAGTTTCAAAAGGGTAGAGATAATGACATTCAATTTTATGGCCGTAGTAGGAGAGAGTAGTTTTCTTAGGACAATTTTCAGAGCAAATCTATAATTTATCATTAGCATCTCCAATGAATTTGCGGACTCCATCTCAGCAAAGCCCAAGGTCACCATCTAAGATCAACTTTGGACTCGTTTTTTCTCCAGCAGATCGTTCTTGTTTGTGGTTCTTCAACGAAAATGGCCCTTTTTGTGTGGATTCACTTTACAGAAAACATTTGGTTTTGGCGCTCGGGTGAAAAAAATGACCGCTTCTTTTTTGGTTCCTTTCAATTTTATTTTTATTATTTACTTTTTCTTAATGGAAGGTGTTCCAAAAATATAATTAGTAGTAATTCTAAATGAAACATTTTTATTAAAAAAAATATTTTATAATTTTAAATATTTCATAAATATTAAGTATATTTTTTTTCAAGATAATCATCACTTGTAAAACTCACAAGTCTATATTATAATATTTTTTTTCTAAACACCATAATATGCTAGATGAGTTTAAATTAATAGATAATAAATTTTCAACTCTCCAAAGAATCACATGAAAAAATATTTCATAATTTTTCATATGTTTACCTAATATTTTTTATATAAAATTTAAAATATAAAAATATATATATTTTTTTTTTATTTTCGAGTTCGAACGAACAAATTTTGAGTTAATCAAATATATTTAAAAAGTTCATGTCTTAAATTATTAGACCACGAACGAACTCGAACATTGACGAACAATTAAATGAATGAGCTCGAACACGATTTTTTCCCCGAAAAATTAACTAACGAACACAAACACTGTTCGAACGTAAACGAACACGAGCTCGAACAGTCCAAGCTCGGTTCGTTCGATTTGATTACAACACTACTTTTGGAGGATTCATGCTTTGGAGGCTATGAACAAACATAAGACAAGACAAGTGATTAAAATCGGGAGAAGGAGATTGAAGAAGTCGAATAAGTTTTTCTTTTAATTTCATCTTATCTTATGAAACTCAAGGTTTTATGTTTATTTTCTGGTCTCAACTTCATGTTTATAGGCTAAATTAATTACACAATTAGAATTTGTTACTCGAGTAGATTTATGATACAATTTTTATTTGTTCATTATAACTTATCTTTAATATATAAATTCTATGTGTTTATTCTTATCGTGTAAGATCTTACCAGAGGACTAAAATCTTAGGAAATAAGGGAGTTGATTGTATATCATGAGACCAAGTAAAATTAATATACAATTTAACTTGTTTGAGATAGAGGTTATAATTTAGTGATTATCTTTAGGTAGTAAAAATAAATAAGATTTGGATGAATTTAAATATTTTATAAATTAATTGCAATGAAAGCATAGCATAAAATCTATTTTACATATCTTTCTTTATTCATACTTTATAACAAGTTTTCATTCTTAATTTAATTTATTAATTCGTAATAACCATCATCCAAATTTGAGTTAGCTTAGATCATATTTAATTGTTATTATTTCAATATAATTAGTTTGTGATATGGGATACCATACCGGGTTGAGTAGACCCGAGAAACCAGCTAACCAGGACGAGCGAACCAATTGGTCGAAGGGAGCTACACATCGAATAGAGAGTCGGGTCGACTAGGATGCTACAGCAAGTGGAATAGCTAAAAATGATGTTCAACTATTTTGAAATATGGTGCATTCTAATTGATATGCATTTTTTGTTTTACAAAAACTATTTGTATATATGACATGGTAATATGGTGAAGTCATACATTAGCACAACAAAATCATCTATTAGCATGACATATATATTGTCATCCCTAAAAATGCAGGCTTATAGACACAAAGTTGTCATCTATTAGCATGACATATTGTCATTCCTAAAAATGCAGGCTTGTAGACACAACATTGTCCTTGTAGGCACAATTAATGTCGTGTCAATAGTGTCATCAATTTATAGACACGACTATTGTTTGTCGTTGCTATAAAATTTTTAATAGGCACGACTTCATTGTTGTGCCAATTTTGTCGTTCCTACTACGCGCGAAAGAGAAACTAGCGGAAATGTAAACTCGATGACATCTTGATCGGGCTCAAGAATCTCCTCTAGTGGGGTATCAATCTCGATATGTGGGTCCACACCTTCCTCGTCATCAAGCTCGCTCATACGCATTGACTTACAGGTTCGGGCACCAAGTGTAAGATGTGGATCATAGATAAAGGCCTCATTAGCTCGTGACTCGATACAGTCGATGTGTGCTGTTAGGCTCTCCAATTGTGCGCTCAACCGAGCACATCCGGGCTCAATCTCTTCATCTCGAGTTGTTTGGGAAGATATGCGAGCAAGAATAAGGTCAAGTTTTTCATCATAAGTCAAGGTATCCTCCCGGGGTTCATTCTTATATGTAGATTCACCTTGCGTGATGGGCTCGGGAGGGGAATTGTCAACTTGATCCTCTATAGCTTGCATGCGCTCCACTAGGTTCTCGATTCTGGACTCAATATTTTTCCTTTAGGATGCTTGGGATGTCAAAAAAGCGAGAGCCTGATCAAGTTTTGCATTGTACTATGAGGAATCCTCGCGGGACTCATATGATTGCTCAACAGATACTGAATCCCACTGTTGTTCGTAAGGATGTGAAAATGTCTGGCCATAGTCCCAGGAATTGTAGCTCAAACCATTATTCCCAGAGCAAGCATTCGAGGATATGACTGAGTAACCGTAGTTCATGGGAGTACTTAGACGAGCACACCAGGCTGTGGTTTCTTCTTCCTGAGCTTACCGGAATGTCGCAAAAGCAAAAATCCGATCGAGCTTCTCATTAAACGCTAAGGGTCCCTCGTGAGACTCACACGACTATTCTATCGGGAATGAGTTCCATCGCTGCTCGGAAGAGTATGGATATGATTGGACGTAGTGCTCAAAGTTGTAGCTCGACACATTATTCCACGAGGGAGAATACGAGAAGGAGAATGAATGGCTTGGGTTAATCGAGTCCCTCGGTCAAAATCCCTTGCACACAAAAACCAAAACAACCATACGAAACCACGAAAACTAAGACAAAACCAAAACAAAGAGAAAAACAAAATACACAAAGAAAGAACACAAGCACGAAAATAAAAGTAATAAATAAATAAAGAGAAACACAAGAAAATAAAATCAACGCCAAAACTAAATATCCTACTTGCCTTCTCCGGCAACAGCGCCAAATTTGTTGTCGCAAATTATATTTTTACCGAGTACGGGATGACTCCCGATCTCGGGTCGATCTCTCGAAGAAGGCGGTTCGGAATCCAGATTCAGTGTTGATCACACACACAAAAAAAAAAGAAGGTATGAACTAAGAAATAACAGAAAATGCAAAAATAATTATTCTAATCACGAATGAGGTTTGAACTATCAATTAAGAAATAACAGAAAATGCAAAAGCAGAGATCAATTCAAAAACATGAATCAAACAATGATAAAGAAGCTAGGGAGTCAGGGATAATTTATTCTGTTCTAAACGCAAAATCTGTCAAATAATTGTTCGGTTCAAGATTGACATTATCGCTTAAACATCTAACGGTTCGCTCCCAATAACTTTTCGTAACAAGGGATTGAACATTGATGAACAAGTTCAAGCATACAACACTGGCCTAGGGTCCAATCCCAATAACTCTCGTAACAAGGGAAAGGTCATAGACGAGCATGTATTTCAATCCAAAAACCTATAGACTTTTCTTTTACGATATCATTTATCTCATGTGAGCCCAGGTCTACAACTTCTCCCCTTTCAGTTCTAAAAATTGCTAAATTAAATTAGAAGGTGATTAATGACTAATCGTTTAGAATAAAAAATCCTAACTCGAAAGAACAATATTCAATTGCCACAAATTGCAAGATTGAAGCGTCACTCTTCAATTTTATTCAACTCTCAAGCAAGAAATTAAACAATCCTTTTCAAATCAACTCACACGAGAATGAACAAATCAAAGCCCGACAAATACGATCGAACAAGAACGATTATCCCCTATCCCTAGCAATCGGATTTAGCTACGCATATTCCATTCAACACAAGTAAACATCTCAACCCAAGCAATTATTTTCATCAATTAAATGAAAAGAAAGACTTACGATTAATAGAGAAATCGAACGTTGAATCTGAATTACAAGATTCATCCGAAAACAAGAAAAAATCAAGAGAAAATCCAAGAGAAGATTCAATGTTTTTGGGGTGAAAAATTGATAAAAACAAGTATGGAGTTGTTCTCCAAGGGTTGGGAATGAGTCCCAATGAAAAGTGCTCAAAAAATCGAGCAAAACGGGTTTTAAAAATTCTGGTTGAGACCTCCACAGTATAGAAGACCCCCACGGCCTCGCATTCCAAGCTGCTGAAGCATTCCACGGCCACAGGAATCCTCCGCTGGCCGCGGTAAAGAAAAATGTGCTGTTGTGCGCGGCTTCACGTTTCGGGCTCCTTTGAGCTCGTCTGGACTCAGAATTGAGTGTTGTTTTTTTCTACGCGTAGCCAACGAAACCTTATACATAATTAAGCTCACAAAACCATTTTTTTCTTTAATTCATATCCGCCCAAAGCTCCCGATCTGCACGCCAAAAACGACAAAAAACAGGAAAAAAGTCGGGGAAACACAATAAAAAACACAAAAAATCCCAAAATAAATGAAAACACACAACAAACTATAGAACAGACTGATAACCAACGAAAGGAACTAAAACGGGGAAAAAAGAAAAATAAACAATAATGAAAAACACAATAAAAATGAGCCAAACATACACCGGTCGATTGATCGACCTAAAGAATAGTACATGTGCATAGTGATGAGAAAATCTTGCTCGATGCAGATCGAGGAGGTCTTACGATTAGACTGTCTAATAGAGCAGACTAATGGATAAAAAGGAATATTATGAGGATAAGAACTACACGTGGATTGGGACACGTAGCCTAACCGAAAAGGGAAATTTGGCCATTCGGGAAGTTCAGGCACTTGGGCAGCCCTTCCGAACAGACTTGGGCAACAAGATACCACCCCTATATAAAGGGGTGAGGTATGATAATCCAAACTCTACATCTCTACACACTCTATTATACTTACAGAGCTTTATATATATTTTTCATCATCTTCATCAATGTGGACTAAATTGATCATCAGAGTGCTAATGCCGGAACCCCTCCCGGCCCATTTTGCAGGTCTACGAATAGGTCGGGAAGCAAATCCGGGTCGTGAAAGCCCAATCGAGGTCGTTGGACACCGGCGGCGATGGGATGGATAAATGTTATGTAAATGAAAACGCAATGTATATTGATAATATATTGAATATAAAAGCAACATATATTGAAATTATTCTAATGTGCGTCTTGTACAAAATTTTGACGCTCATTGTTAAGCCTTGACCTATTTTTCTTAAAATTGCTAATCTAGTCGGTTTTGTCATTCATTTTTATTTTTTATTTTTTTAGTCTGTTAAATGTGGTTGGATAAATGGTATGTTAATAAAAATGCAACATATACTGAAAAATATTTCGATGCATGTCTTGCAAAAGATTGAAAGTTGGTTGTTAAGCCTTGACCTCTTTATCTTACATTGCTCGACCTGGTCGGTTTTGTCATTCATTTTTTTACAAGTTGGGTCATGACTTTCAATGACATCTTCGCCAATTTCCATCTCGTCCATGACGAAGCGGCGCCATGGCTGAATGCGACAGAAGGTAAAGACGCCTCAATCACGACGTCATTGGGATCATCTTCGATAATTAACAGACAGATACAGCGGGTTGCCTAAGTGCACGTGCGAAGCGACCTGCTGCGGATCGTTTCTGCTACCATCGAGCGAGCACCCGTCTGCCTGGAACTTGACCTTCTTCATTGCTGGAAAAACTGGAGGATGTGGTGGATCGGACAGAGAACATGTCGGTGGCGGAATAAGNGTCGGTCCTATAATTTATGCAAATATTTTTGCTAGTTTTTTTTTTAATAAGTATATATGAGTTGTAGATCCGCAATAAAAAAGTGTTGGGCTGGTTGACTATGTACTTTTCTTAAATTAAAATATTGTCGTCGAGTCTCTCTCTTTGTGATCGGTAATTTTAGATGAGGATGTGTATTCGTTTGGGATTCCAATAAACATTTTGAGACTTTTTTAGATTTGAAAATTTTTTAAATTCTAAGGACTCTTGTGAAATCTTAAACTGGCAGTGGAATTTGAAGTGAAATTTCATATATGGTTTTTCCCTTTGAAACCCCAGGAAATCATAAAAAGTCGTAACAAATTCTAATTTGAAATAAGTTAAATAGATCAAAATTTTGTACGATTTTTGAAAATATCAAATGAACATATCAAGACTTTAAAAATTTTAATTAATATACTCGGATTTCTAAAAACATTAAAAAGTCTTTAGAATCTCAAACAAACACCCCCTAAATTGTGTGCGAACATAACTTGATTGAATTTGTGAATTCGTAGAGCGCCAACAACTAATCGAGCTTTATGGGTTTTCCTTTTGAAATCCCAAGAAATCATAAAAAGTCGTAACAAATTCTAGTTGCAAATAAGTTAAATAGATCAAAATTTTGTACGATTTTTGAAAATATCAAATGAACATATCAAGACTTTAAAAATTTTAATAATAAACTAGAATTTCTGAAAACCTTAAAAAGTCTTTAGAATCTCAAACAAACACCCCCTAAATTGTGTGCGAACACAACTTGATTGAATTTGTGAAAGCTTAGAGCGCCAACAATTAATCGAGCTTGTTGACAAATAACTCATTATTATTATTATTATTATTATTATTATTATTATTATTATTATTATTATTATTATTATTTTATTAAAATTTGGAAATGTTTTATACGAAAAACACAGACAAACATGTTTGCATATGTTCAAGTATTCCTGTAAACAGTTTGTTTATAATTTTGAATTTGTACAAGTCATAACAAATAAACTTGTTTATTAAACGAGTACAAACTCAAATACAAAGTGCTCGACTCAATTCAAATAATACATCTAAATATCATACGTAAACCTACAAGAGCCGGGAATTAATTAATTTTTTGCGACGTGTTTTTCCATTAGACTTGAATAATATTTATGGTATCGCAAATTGTGTAGAGAAACAATATGAAGGTGAAACTCTTCCAACTCCTACAATAATTAACCCAAACTCACGTAATACAAACCATGCCCTCGAGGAATACATCAGTGAGAACATTCTTCGACTGCAAAGACGCCTTCAATAATTTCACAGCCTAAGCCAAACACCCAAACATAATATAAATTGTTAAAATTTTAGGTATCAAAAATCCAGATTTTTCACAGAAAGATCAACAATTAAAATACGCAGCGAAAAATATATAGAATTCAAAATTCAGTATACAAGTCAAAAATACTTGTAGAGTAAGGCAACATGCCAAACACGTCTAGTGAACTACGAAAAACAAAACGCGAGTTCAAAAATTGAATAATAACAAAAAAAATTCACCTCATCCATGCCAAACTCAACCACCTTCTCCTCCAACCACCCCACCTCCTTCACATGAAACTTGTTAAGCAAAGTGATGCTTGAAATAGTTGACATGGGCATGACGACCAAATCATCCATCACCATGTACGTCACCACCCCCTTCACAAACCCCCCTTCCCCGGGCCCTTCCTTTCGGGCCGGGCCCGCCACGTAGGACACGCCCGTGGCCATTTTCCTGCCGCAGTGCGGACAAGGCGCGAGTGGGTCCTCCGCCACGTACGTTGAGTTGCACGTGCACCTGTAGAATTTCCTCCCGCCGCCAGCTGGCGAGGGCCCGTTTTCGAGCGCGAGCAGGGGAAAGAATCCCGAGACCGGCTTCAGGAGGGCTTCCTTGGACTGGTTCGGCTGGATGTACGACTCGTTTAGATTCTGTATGCTTTGGTAGAGGCTCGAGAGGGAGCCCGCCGTTTGGTGGTGCTTGAGGAGGCTCAGTAGGGTGCCGACCGGGAGAGAGATGAGGCTGAAGAGGAAGTCGATGAAGTCCTTGCCGGCCTCTGCAAAAAGGACCCTTTTGCCCTTGGTGTCGATCAATAGCTTTAGGGTTACTGATGATGCGCTGGAGGTTTCAGACATGTTTGGTTCGTGGCTTTAGGCTGTGGGAGGCTTGCTTGCTTGTGGTTCATCGGATTATATATTAATTTTGAGCATTTATGTTTGGTTTTTGTAATATTTTCTATGAATCCCTATTTAGAAGAAAGGGATGCTTGCATGAGTCCTTAAGAAAGGAACCCAATTAAAGGGAGGGGGAAAAGTGAAGAATAAAAGGAAATGATCAATGATATTTACTTGTTTTTTAATGTTGCTTATAAGTTATATCTGGTTTTAATTTTGCACTAAATGAAATAAGTAGTTTGTACTTTGGAGAAAGAAATTGCACGAGCCAAGAACGACAACTTTGTTATTAATTTCTCAATTTAGGGGGAAGAAAAAAAAAACGAAAACAAGTTGAGGTAGCCTGGAGAAGTCACACAATTGTATAAATATTATGCAGCTCAACAAAATATATGTAATTGGTAAAGAGAGTCAAGCAAAACATATTCTAACCCCATTAACAAGTTCCATAAGCGTCACTTTGCCTGTGAATGAAGAACTAATTATTTCTCTCCTTAACTCGGAAAAAAGCATAATGTGCAAAATATATATATCTCTCTCTCTCTCACTTGTTGGCTGATTTGATTTCATTTAGGAAGACGTCCGTGAGAACTTTGTTGGAGTGCAGACAAGCATTCAGCAACTTCACAGCCTGCACAAACCAAACACCATATATATAAAACATGCTTGGAAACACAATAAATTATCGAAAACAATATTCATAATTTAATATTTTTCTCTACAATAAAATCACTCATGCTACGATATATACATGACAAATCTTTGCAGTAATAATGAAGGTCAAATTAGTAAAAAGAGGGCTCGAAATTCATGAAACATGCAACTTCTATCACCTTCCGACTCATAATGTTAGAGCACTGGTTCATTCAAAAAAATTTACATGCTACATAAGAAATAAACTCACTGTACAAAAATATATTCTCCAGTGCAAGAGTAAGTGGACTGGATTCTGCTGATGTGGTAGCAAGAAAAGAGAATCGGTCTATCATTGATTATTTTAGACTCAAGTAGGGACCCACTCGCTTTGCATTGGAGTGAATTGTGTTACTTTTATATAATTTTATTTATGTCATCCAAGTCTTGTGTTTGTCTACATCTATACTTATATAAAAAACCATCCTATTTACTAGAAATAGTAGGTAAAAAAGTTAAAGGTAATTAATGCATTCTATTTCCATCAATTTTTTCAATTGTATTATTATTTTATTCCTAGAAAACCGGTTTGCATTAATTCATCCTTAATTGATGTGTTTTGCAGTAAAATCAGACAGATGGACTTCAAATAAAAACATGTCTCGTTTCAATTTTAAATTTAAATATTAAAATTTCTTACCATTTTGTTACATTAAAATCCTGAATTACTTGTTTGTCATAAAATCGGACAAAATAATAATTGCATAAAATTCAAGTAAAAACATGTCTCATTTAAAATTTAAATTTTAAAATTCCTTATCATTTTTGTTACATTTCCGAATGATATGTTTCCCATAACATCCGACAGAATTAATAATTGCATAGTATTCAATTATGATTTCGACTTTATATCAAGGATGTTTAATAATTGCATCAAATTTCAAAGATGTTTATTTATTATAAAAAATTAAATTCTAAAAAAATATTTGTGTATATTTTGTAAAATGTTTGTACAAAATGTTTTACTTTAAATTTACTTACATAATTTAAATTAATTACATTAATAAATAATATGAACATACATTAAATATTTTAATTACATAAAACAAAAAGAAGAAGAAGACTACATCTATAACTTGTATAAATAATAATAATGATATTATATTACAACAAATTTTATAATAAAATAATATGAGTATTATACGAGGAACAAGATTAAGTAAAATTGTTAGTTTTTTTATATTAAGGAATACATATATATATAATGAAATCAAATTTATATTATTATAAACATGTGAGCGAGATAATATATTAATTAATTTACGGGCTAGCAATACCAGACTCAGGTTTAATATTCCGACAAAAAAAAATGACGTTGATGAAACGATGTAAAAAAATAGATGATCAAACTTTATTATTTTTTAGGCCTGAACGGAACCCATGGTCCACTCATTTAATATCTCTCGTGAATCGCATAAGCTACTTAACGGACAAGGTTTGTGGAAATGACTCATTTAATACTTCTGTCTCGTGCATCGCACGGGCTACGTACTAGTGTCATGTAACCAAAGTTAGACCAAAAGCATTATGGATGCTACAACTTTTATGTCAGTCTCCTTTTCTATTTGGTTAGATGAAATACTACTAAGTTATCGAGCAACCATCTTTTGACAGAATTTCTTCTACTTTGCTCAACCCATGCTCACATATTCTTTTTTCTGGCAACTCCAAAAATAATACCAATTGCAGAATTATACATAGCCGAATATATATATCTCTTGTGCTTACTTTTCTCATAATATATTGTGCTTAATTGTATGTTTCTTTCGTAACAATTGGTATAATACTAATACAGATAAGTTTTAACTAGATGGACCAAATAAGAGTTTTATATATGTATGAAGTGAGAAAGACATGAGCTTAAATCGTGTAACCAAATCATACAAAAAAAAANATCATACAAAAAAAAAAAAATAAATAAATAAATAAATAAAAAAAAAGAGGTTGGATAAATAAATGAATGAAATTACCTCATCCATGCCAAAATTCACCACCCTTTCCTCCAAGATACCGACGTCCTTGATATTAAACTTGTTGAGCCAGACAATGGTGGAGATGGTGGAGAAAGGGGCGACCACCAAATCATCCGTCACCATATACATCACCAAGCCCTTCACAAACCCCTCGCTAGGCGGGCTGTTCACGTATATCACGTCGTACTTCATTTCCAGGCCACATTTAGGACAAGTGGCTTCAAGACTACTGGAAACGTAGTAGGGGCAGTGGGCACACCTATACAAGTTACTTCTATTGGCGAGCACAAGATCAGGAAAACATTCGGGGCTTTTATTTAAAGGAGATGGTTTTAAATGACCCTTTGACAAAAGAATTTGTTTAAGTAACCCTTCCATTAAATAAAGGTAAATAAATAATTGAAATGCCTAAAATAACCTTAGATATTTAATGACTATACTACCCTTCTTGTATTTTGTATTACCAATTTTGTAATAAAAAAAAATCATTCCAAAAAGATTTTTGCTCTGCTCGTCGATCGTTCGTCCGGCTTCTCCTCTCTCTCGTCCGTCTTCTACTCTGTTGAATAAGGTAAGAACAAAATCTGATAATTAGACATAAACTTTGGAGTCCATAGTGCAAAAGAAATGTAGTGATGAGGAAGAAGAACAAAAAAAAAACATTATCACCTTTATTTTAGAGATAAATCATGGGTAGGGTTTGTTGTTATCATACTCTGATAAGCATTTTGGTTCATATTTTTTGATTGATAAACATGTGGTTTCACATTAATCATGTTTTTGTGCCATTCATGTTAATTTTTTTTTATTTTTTAGATGATATTTTATATAACGAATATACAGTCGTTATGCAAATTGCATAACTAATGTAGATTCGTTAGATGATTAATTCATAATGAATGTACATTAGTTAGATGATTATTTCATAACGAATGTAGATTCGTTATTTGATGATTTTCTCATAACGAATGTAGATTCGTTAGATGGTTATTTCATAACGAATGTACATTAGTTATTTGACGATTTTCTCATAACAAATGTAGATTCATTAGATGATTATTTCATAATGAATTTATTTTCGTTATGACTAAAATAGTTGATTATATATAAATTGTAAAGAGTAAACTTAAGAGCATTGTATATTATCTCCTATTTTAGTAACATGTGTTTCCACAATTATCTTGTTGAAGTAACATATATTTTTTTCTTGTAGATATTAATTTTATCAAAGATGGTGTGGATACAAGTATGTCACTATGTTGAGTTTAAAAAGAGTACGGATGGCACTTGGACGTGGAGATATGTGAATGAAAATGAAGAGAATGTCAATCCTATTTATGTTCGCGACGACATATCTTTCTTGGAGCTTGAAGAAGCGGTTCTGAAACTCATAAAGTTTGATAGCATCTCATACGTAATAGAATTGCGATCACTTACCCCAAGAATGATGAAATTACCAGTCCCCCTCGTGAAGATCGATTGTGATGAGAAAATGAAATGGTTTATACCTATTTGTGAGGATCATCCTCTTTGCGTAACACTTGTTGAAAAACTTGTTGAGGAAGAAACGAACAATCAAACTTTAGAGATGATTGAACCACTTACATGGGATACTGAAATTCACAAGTCGCTCGAAGGTCAATGGGACAGTATGATGCAACTTGAAGTTATATTTTGATTAGTGTATTGCTTTTGACTTATAGGGATTTAATATTTGTGTATAGTGTTTTGACTCGGCCATATAGTGTTTTAACTTTTTGTTTGTTGTTTTTGATCCAGTTCATTAAAGTGAGTTGCTGAATCTTGAAATTATATTTTGTCTTGTGTTTAAATTTTTATGTGTATCCAATGTAGTGATTATTGAAAATATTAAGGGTAATTGATTCACATAATGTACTTATTGAACTGTTATAGGAAATTTGGAAACAAACTACTATAGTTTCGTTTTATAGTATTATATAGTAGTATTACATTAAAAAAGGTTAAAATTATAAGTATAACGAATGTACAGTCGTTATCAAGTATAAAATAACGAAGGTACCTTCGTTATCATCATCGCGGGCACAACAAATATCACGGGCGCGACACTGAAGCTAAAGTTCCGTCGTGCAGAGAACTTTCCAGGTTGTCACGGGAGCGACGGTTATCGCGGGTGCGACACTCTGCTTTTTTATGGACAGAAAGCTGTCCAGGATGTCACGGGCGCGACAGGTCCCGCGACCGCGGCCAATGCGATTGTCGCGGGCGGGACACGAAATAAGAAGCTGCAGTAGCTCGCGACAGCCTGTCCCGGGCGCGACAGGCAAGCTGTCGCGGGCGTTTTTAGTTATTTTCTTATTTAGTTATTTTTTATTTTTTTGTTTTAGGTCGCGCCGAAACTCATTTTGAGAAATAACGATACTTGATTTTTTTAGAAATGGAAAGATCATGAAGAATCGGTGTTTTTTATCGAAAAAGAACCATAACGAATGTACATTCGTATGGTGAAAATTGTAACGAAGGTGCTCCCGTTTGGGTATTTTTTTTTATGGAATGACGTGTTAAATATTGTATCTTGGTCATATATCACTTTTGAACGATAATTTGGATCCGTTAGAGCGTGGAAATACTCATAACGAAACTCTTTTTTTTTTTTGAAAAACGGATAGATAATGTAGAATCGTTGTTTATTCGTTATGTTACACTAAAAATGATTAAAGTAGACCTATAACGAGTTTAATATATTTATAATATATTATTTGACGAATGCACGGTCGTATAAGGTGGATTTTGTCGAAAAACAACCATAACGACTGTATATTCGTTATAACGAATGTACATTCGTTATACCGAATGTAAATTCGTTATGGTTGTTTTTGTCAATAAACACGCTTTCTTCATGGCTTTTTTGATCGAATTACTTGATAATGATTGTATATTCATGTTACATGTCATTGGAACTATAGTGTGAAGGTTTTAGAGCGTCGAAACACTCACAACGAAACTCTTTTTTGAAATAACAATACTCGTTCTTTTTTTTTTTTTTGAAATATGGAAAGATGATGTAAAATATTTGTAAATTCATTAGTTTACATGGAAAATGAATAAAATTAGACCTATAACGAGTTTAATATCTTTATAATGGCTTATATGACGAATGCACGGTCGTTTAAGGTAGATTTGGTCCAAAAACAACCAACTAATGTACATTCGTTATGATTGTTTTTCGAATCAACGCGCTTTCTTTATGGTTTTTAGATCGAATTACTTGATAACGCATGTATATTAATGTTGCATGTCATCGGAACGATAGTTTGAAGGTGTTAGAGCGTTGAAAGACTCATAAAGAAACTCTTTTTTTAAAATAACAATACTTGTTTTTTTTTTTTTTGAAAAATGAAAAGATCATGTAATATCTTTGTACATTCATTATTTTAACTTAAAAATAACCAAAATTAGACCTATAATGAGTTTAATATCTTATAATATATTATATGCCGAATGCACGGTCGTTTAAGGTGGATTTGGTCGAAAAACAACCATAACGAATATACATTCGTTATAACGATTGTACATTCGTTATGGTTGTTTTTCTCAACAAACGCTCTTTCTTCATGGCTTTTTTTATCGAATTACTTGATAACGATTGTATGTTCATGTTACATGTCATTGGAACTATAGTTTGAAGTTTTTAGAGCGTCGAAACACTCACAACGAAACTCTTTTTTGCTTATGGATTTGGATTGACTTTTGGATTCGACATTTGATTTGGTTTGTCTTTCGGTTTTGGCTATGAGCTTGATATGATTGATATGATTTGCATTATAGGTATTGCGATGTTATAACGACATTGAATTCTATATAATGTAATATGCAACGAGATTGAATTCGTTATGGTTATTTTTTGATTAAATACGACCAAAACGACACGACTATTGTTAAAATACTAGTTTAACGATTCTTCATTACCTATCCATTTTACAAAAGAAACACGTATTGTTATTTCATAAAATGTAATATAACGAGATTGATTTATTTATAATCGATCGAGATCAAAATAACCATCACGAGACTACATTCGTCATGTTTTTCAAAATAACGAATGTACATTCGTTATTTCAAGTCGAACGTTTGTCGCGGGCGCGTCATCCGTCGCTGCCGCGACACTGGCCCTGTTCTTGGTCAGACAGAGTAAGTTGCCAGGACGTCGCGGCCGCGACGGGCGTCGCTTCCGCGACAAGCAAGTTTAAATAAAACCAAGTATTGTTATTTCAAAAAACTACATTCGTTATATGAATCGGGACACCATAACTCGAGTTCATTTATTATAATGGATCGTATATCGAAGGTTTAGGTGTATTTAACTGACCACGATAAAAAAGAAAAAGATAAAACGAGGGTATATTCGTAGTGATATTCAAAATAACGACTGTACATTCGTTATTTTGTAAACGACTTGTAATCGGTTCCTCGACTTATTTTCGGGAGCTCGACATCGATCCCCTTCGTTATTTATTACATTAAAACTTCTCGTTACAGTAATATCTTTAACCATTTTTGATAAAATACTATTATAACCACTGCATTTGGAAGTACGTAAAAAACACAACTTCAAAAATCGACCACCCGCATCATTGTATTGAAAAAGACATGAAAAATAATACAAAAATGTATTATCCAAAAGATCCCAACAACCCGTTGAATGTTTAAAACAAACTATGGATCAAAATGAGCACCAAATATTTCAGCCGCTAGTTTTACACGCCAATCACTCATCCGAGATTGATCTACACCTTCAACATTCTTCCCAGCATGCAAAAAATCTATAAACTTGATTGTAAATATGCCACAATCAAACCTGCAACATAAATACACAAATTATATTACTTTACCAAGTTTCATAATACACAAGTCCCAATTTGTACTTCGTCTTCGCGTCTTTCTCCTCATCCAGCTCATGAAATTCCGCGAGTAAGTCACTGCGTTTGATCTTCTCCCGTTTCGCCTTGAACAGTTGCAAAAGCGAACTGTTATTTTTGGGGACCTCGTACGCATTTTCATCATTCGCCGCAATCTTAAATCCGGTTACAAGACAAAACTCTTGTAACATGAATCTAGCTTCGTTTTCCCCAAATCTGAACCAAACGACATCTTTGTCATTTTCAGACGCTTTCAATGTAATATGAGCTCGGGAATATTTACTAGTGGCCGGAAGCAAGACTCTACAAATCGATCTTTATGTGCACTGTCTAGGTTGTCAAATACTTCACGGACAACTTTGAGGTTGCACCTATTGGTCACAACTGCTTTGCATTTGGAAGGTATATCAAACGCATATTCCTTTTTGGTTCCTAAAAACAGAAAAGAAAGACAACATAAGTCATAATAGGTCAAACAAGCAATAAGTACTAACACTGAACTTAAATAGATTAAACAAGGAGCTTAAATTAGGTATATAATGTCGTTTCCAAAATTACTATAACAATTATTGTAAAGTACTCTCGTTATTGGTTTTAATTTAATACATAAGAATATACATTCGTTATTTCATACACCATAACAAATGAATCTTCATTTTAGGTATATTTTTATCTCGGTCAATCAAATACACCTATACATTCATAATATAATACATTATGACGATATTTTACTCGTTAAAGTTATAAGTTAACTCATTTCTAAAGGATACTAATAAAACGATTCTTTATTCTATATCGAGCTTCTTTTAATCTTTGAACTTAACAACCTTAAAGCATGCTATTAAACTGAAGCTTGACTAAATATTGCCTTATCAAAACTCATACATGTAACAACCTTAAAATATATCATTCTAACAAGGTCAAATACTACTCAACATGCACCTCTCTTACAAATTGAAACTTAGAAGAATAACCTATGACACAATGCTAAAATCCTTAAATACTAACATCAATTCAAGAGATACACCATACATGTATACATTGCGAACAAAACAATAGGAAGCATGTCAATTTACCCCTTTTTATATTTTTAAACAAAGACAATTTAAGATAAAGGAACATTTTGGATACTAGGTTCTAAAAGCCACAACGAAGCCTTAACACAGAATCAAGTAAAAAATATACACATAACATGGCTCAGCATGTAAGGTCTCCACATGGCAGGAAATATACCACCCAAGCCTTCTCTTTCATTTACAAGAATATAGTCGTTTCCACAATTCCTATAACGAATGTACATTCGTTATATATTACATTACAAACATAGAAGTCTCGTTATTTTCAGTTGATCAACTCAATCCTACAATCATTTCATCAAACACATAGAGTTCACCTTACAAGCATTTCATCACACATAAAATGCACCAATTCACCAACTCAATCCTACAAGCATTTCAACAATTAACCTCACTTTCATGCATAACACATATTAAACAATTAACCCCACTTTCATCTCTTTAAACACAATACAGTACAAAATAGCCACAATATCAAAAAATTCTTCTTCAACATCATTCTTCTTCTTCAATTAACACATAATACATAAACTCATTTTTCTTCTTCAACTTAATAAATCTAGCATGCTTGGAAAATAATTCTAAACACAAAGGGTTCAACATCATTATACCCTTACCAACAAAAAATTACGAAAAACTAAAAAAAATGAACCCTAAAAAAATTTCTTACCAACATTGACAATAGAGAGTTCCATGAGACAGAACTGAGAGAGAGAGTCGAGAGAGCGAGAGGTTACAGAGAGCAGGTAGTTATGTGCGGGAATGAAGAGTAAGGAGAAGAAGAAGGACCGTTTAGTTGAGGGGTACATTGGTAAGTTTTGATTTAATATGATTTCTTATTAATTTTTATAAGGGCTTTTGACTTGAGGGTCATTTAAACAAAATGTGATGTAGAATGGGTTATTTTAGCTAATTCCCACAAAACATCCGCCTACAGCATACGGCTTCAAGAGGGCGACTTTGGTGGTGTTGGGCTGCATATATGATGGGTTCAGATTCTCTACGCTCTGGTACAGGTTTAATACTGAACCCGCGGCCTTATTATTTCCCTGCTTGCCAACGATGGCACCCACCGGCATGGAGAGGATGCGAAACAGGAAATCGGCAAAATCCTTGCCGGCCTCCGCAAAAAAGACCCTTTTGCCCTGCGTGTCCACCAACAGCTTTAGGGTTAACTTGGAGGAGGGCTCCACGCCGCCTTTTGACTTTTCTGCCATAGTATACTATAGATTTTGAAGAGAGGCAGATGCAAAAATTTGATTATCTCAACTTCGGAATATCGAAAGAGGAAAGAGGAATTTTAGGAATCAATGAATGAATGATATCAAATCGAATTTATATTTGATTAGGATCTGGAAATATGGTAATTACTAATTATAATGTTATGAGAGAGAAGAAGTGTTTCGGTCATATTTCACCTCCTTCCCTATAGGATGATTATTATGTTGCCCAAGAACGTTATAATGCTAACAACCTTATATTTGACTAAGAATATATCTTGTAGTCCAAAATTGAATTTTTGCTGCCCAAGATGGGTACAAATCTACTATTCGGTCAGAATTTAAAATTAGTCTTATAATTTAGTAAAATTCTAATTTTCTACCTTGTTATTGACAACTTTCAAATTGGGTCAAATAATTTGACAATTTAGTCAAATTTGGTTCATTTTTATCCGCATTCTGGATAAAAACGTGATGTGGCGTTTGTAAATCTAATATTGCGTGATTGTATTTTATGTGGCGGGATTATGAAACGTTGACTTCAAAATTAAAAGATCCACGTCACCCCAAGACCTTAGTTGCAATTAACTAAAACTTTTAAAATTGTAAAATAGTACATAGAACTTGATAAATTTTAAAAAACGAGCTCCTACAATCCCGAACCCTATTTTAGCTCGTCTTCACCCGTTCGAGGGTGCCCTTCCACCATGGATAAGTGATGGGTAGGGTTGGGTCGCCCTGGAAGTCCTCGAGTGCTTTAGGAAAGGCATCCTATGTGGCGTCTATCGAGCCCACCATCGAACTCTGGATCGACAATTCGTTTGCTAGCCTCCTCCATGCAGACTCGGCAATATTCGACGGCCAGAAGTACGCTATCAATCAAGAAGACATTCGATGTAAAGTAATCGCGATTACCTATTCATGGTACTCCTTCAAGAACCTTAGGCAAATGTCGGTTTTCCAGAGCAATTGTCGGGTACACCCTGCAACAGCAAACATCACTCGGTCTTGCTCGTCCTTACGACGAGCCCTTTCCTCCACGAGCTCAAGTTCCTTGGCCATGATATCATCCTTGTATCGTCGGGTGTTCTTTTTGAGTTGTTGGATCAGCTCGTGGCGTACTTGGATGAGTTGTCAATTCTCATCGGCCAAAAATTTCATTCCCTGCTCGAGCTCAGATATGGTTCGACCTAAACTTGACAGGGCGGTGTCGAGTAGTGGGACAAGAGCAACTAAGCTCCATATATATATAGTAAAGAAAAAAGGTCAGCAATCAAGGAATGCAGGTCGAAACTATGCGAAGTAAAAAGGTAAAGTGAAAATCGAAGTTTAGCTGTGCCAGGGTACGAATGGCACTCTTACTCTGGGATTTGAGGTCAGAGCCCCATTGATTAAGGTCGGTTGCAGGGAGCACTTCCGCAAGAAAGGAAGTTATCTCCTTGTCGCTGGTCGTCATTAACGAAGGAGTAGAAGTGATTGTTCATGTATCATCCTCAAGGTGGGATCGTTTGTTGCTCTCCTCATCATGGGTGATCAGGATTTTTCTGAGAGCGGTGTCTGGTATCTTTTCGCCCAAAGGTGAGGGCTTTTTTTCCACCACCTGGTGGGTTGGTTGGATTGGAGAGGAGGCGACGCCTTTTTACTGGATCGAGGAGGATACGAGTTTAATTTCTTTGGTCGAGGGGGAAGTATGTTCGGGATCCTTGGCCAGCGAGGAGGGGGTATGGCATTTTTTATGTTGTTTGGACTCATTGAGAGCAGTTTTGTTGGTCGACATCCTGTTTTCGCCAGAAACAGTTTTCTTGTCGATAGAAAGTGTTGGTCTAGTCATGAAGTCCCCTACAAAATGTAGAGTGAAACACAATGATAACAATCAAGGATCGAACAGGGAGGTCGAAATTACCTGCATCGGCTTCATCGACGATACGAGGATCTCGAAGAGTTTGCGCGAAAGGAAGAGAGTATGATTCATAGGTGTGAGTTTTGACGGGAGGGGCCTCGAGCCAAGGATTCGAGGCCCAAGGAAAAGGGACATCGGGCTGAATATTTACAAATTTATGTTTCCATTTGGGAACATTAGAGGAATATTGGATAAGAAGTGGGGGTTATTTCGGCTTTTAAGGTAGAGCCCACCTCTTTGGTTTAGAGCTAGAAAACAATAAAAGAAAAAGTCTAGGTCAATTTGACATAGACGAGCAAAGGATAAGATAATGAAGGTAGTTATATATCAACTGGAGTTGGAAGGAAGTTGGTTCAAAGGCAAACCCAATATCCCACACTGGTCGAGCAGTGCGGGACTGAGTGGAAAATAGAGACCTAGCTAATTGGAATTGGCATTGGAAGAAGGTGTAGCAACCCTCAAAGGGGTCGATCGTAAGTGTCATTGGTGCCTGGGATGTAGAATGAACAGTGTTGTTGTATAGAATTTAACAACGATAACAATATGTGATTGAAGCTTTAAAAGTTGAGACTTTGTATTACTGAAGAGTATTTTCAAAGTACAAGATGTCGGTTTATATGTGAACCGAGCTATTCTGCATGTAAGAATTGAATGCGCGTATAAAGATCCCTCGTACAATAATAAAAATTGCTATTTATAGTAGTGTGTGTTTGACTTTGTGTACGAGGTAGGTTGAGTGCATTAAATGCGAAGTAACTTTGTGAAGCGGTTTGTCAGTCAGTGGGCGGACAACGATGATTGCAATATTGCACGTGGTCCAATTAGGTGGGCGCCTCGTCACCTGCTTCAATTTTCGATCATCTCAGACCTCGGTTCGTAGAAAGAACCTTCGAGAAGGAACCTTTTAGAAGTCGGTTGCTTAAGGGATCTTTGAGACGTCGGTTGTTTTCCTGAGTGTGAAGTCGGTTTGACATCCAAATTGTACCGAGTTGAGTTAAGTTAGGAGGCGTATGAACTGGTTTAAGCAGGGGTCTCGTATAATTCTCGTTAATCTTCACCTTAATCCCAACGAATCAGGTCGGTGGTCAACAGAGAGCCCCCGACATTAGTAGGCATACGAGCAGTGATGGCTACCGATGTCGCTATTACGCTTGTAAAATCCGACTTGAGTTGTGTTTTATTCCAATGTGTATACTTATGACGATGTCCACAGCCACGCCCGACAAGACAACAGATCCAGGGGAGAGAAGAACAAGGGGAGGCAGCCACCGACCTCCGCCCCGCCCACCTACACGGAAACGAAGCCATAACCCGCCCCCAACGCAACACCGCAACCCTCCTCCATCTCGCCACCATGGAAATCGGCGGTCTTCGTCTCAGGATGGTAGCTAAAGGAGCCGAGGACCACCCGGGACACCGACCGACTCCATCGCCCGAGAAGATGGGCCCCAGCATCAAATTGCAGTCGTGCCGTAAGCCAGGAATCAACCACCATTCGAGAGGCCCGGCGGCACCGTTGGGGAAGGCAGACGACGAATAAA